TTTTTTTTTTTTTTTTTGGAGACAGAGTCTCGCTCTGTCGCCCAGACTGGAGTGCAGTGGTGCCATCTCGGCTCACTACAAGCTCCGCCTTCCGCATTCAAGCCATTCTCCTGCTTCATCCTCCCAAGTAGCTGGGACTACAGGCGCCCACCACCATGCCCGGGTAATTTTTTGTATTTTTAGTAGAGAGTTTCACCATGTTAGCCAGGATGGTCTGAATCTCCTGACCTGGTGATCCGCCTGCCTCAGCCTCCCAAAGTGCTGGGATTACAGACGTGAGCCACCATGCCCAGCCTCTGATCAGAATTTTTAAGGACAACCCGGAGGGAGCAAATACTCTGTAATAATCGTCTTGTACCTCCATTGCCTGGGTCAGCCTTGGGTCCCGTCTTTTATCCTCAGCAAGAATCTTTCTTCTACCTCTAAATTAAGAGTGATCACATCTTAAAGGAGTGAAGCAGTGTCAAGATTACTTAAAGAACCTTGGTGTAGTGATTCAGACCAGGTATTCAAAGTGAGAGAAGCCTGGATCTCAGTACCATTTCTGCCAGTTGTGGGCAGTGTGATGTTATGCAGAGTTTCCTGAAAAGGCTTCAGTTTTCTCTTCTAGAAAATGTAAATACTAATTACCTCATTGCTTTGTTGGGATTCAAAAGGAGATGTAAATCAGCTACTGCTACTGTCTTAGTAACAAAAATATAATGCTACCTTCTCACATCCCAGCTCTATAATATTTACTTTCTCACACCCTAATTAGACTGTTCTTTAGCCTCTTCAAATTTAGTAACAGTCCTACTCTACTTAAATTATGTTAGATTTTTAGAATTATGCTCTACTCACAAGACATTGAGTTGAGATGCCTGACTTAGATGGCAACCAGGGTCCCGTCCCCACTTTCTCCTTTTAAAATTAACCCAACCCTTTCCCCACCCTGAAATCCTTGAGTCTCTTGACCCTTTGCCTTTTTAACCTTTTCTTTGGCCTCACTTGCTTCTCCCAACCTGAACTCCACAGTCAGTTAAAGCATGTTCTCACAAGCACTGTAAAATCCTCTTGCCAGCTGTCTGAATCCCTACTGTCAGAATTGTTGCAGAAAATTGCAGAGAGATGGTTATTGACTTTCCTCACAGCCCTGGTGGTCTGCCTTCACTGGGAACTCACTTCTGGTGGAGTTCTGCACAGTAGGTCTTTGGGATCCCGCCCCTACCCCGGGGTCTTACTCTCTCCTGTCTCACTCTCATTGCCTCATGCCTTCTTGCCTCTCCTCTCTGGAAGTCTTCCTTGA